ATGCCGTTTTTTTCAGTAGTATTAATATTTACTCTAAGTGTCTTTTAACAGGCATAGCTTAATATAATCACGCTTCCTCCTTCCATGAATGCAATCTGTAACGATCGCGTCGGCAGTCGCCTCTACTTCAACTATGGCCCTAGGCTACGCGGTAGAGTAACGTTCTTTCTCATATTGACCTACAAACCGATTGCTGAAGACCGTGGCGGGTTCCTCTGTTTTTGTCACCTAATCGGCGGACGCGGCGAACAGCAAGGGCGTAGCATGGTCGCATCTCCGTTTCTTCGGGATGTTCTCGTGACTGTGGTCTCCTCCTGGTGTGGCACTTCGGATAAAGAGCGACAGTTTTTCTCCTAAAAAACCACAAATGACTTTCTGCCCTTTGAATTCTGAGCCATGCCTTAGGCGTTTTGTCACGGTCTGATAATTTTGCTCAGTTACACCTGCTGGCTTGTGTTAACTGACATCACCAGGTGTGATTGTAGAACTTGGAACACGTGAGTAGTCACCTACAGTTTTTTAAATAACCTAGTTTGAAATGCTCAGGTGTACCGATGCATTTCTTCACCACTGTGTACCCATAGGGAGTTGAAAGGCATATGGCTATATTTTCCATAAAAAAAATGCCTTGAAATAACTTACAAAATTATTTGTAAAATTAGTTATCTTCACCTCCTGAGATTAAACTTCTCAACTGGTGTTTTATTCTAGCAGTTTTGTTTATTACTGGGACTACAATTTTGTAAAGCAAAAGAGTACGGCACTTTTGTGGCTGTGTCTGCATCCTCGCAAAGTGAGTGGTCGTTAGTTGTGCTACGATCTGATGCCTGCTTCTACTATCATTCTATGACCTGCCTGCATCATACTTTATCAACTGTGTAACGAAATATTCAACTCAAAACATGCAATATGTTCCCCGAGATTTCTATTGTATACCCCCTGCCTATATACTAGTCAAATTTCAAGGATTGATAAGAGCAGTTGTGGTCACCATAACGGTAGAGTGACCTCTAGTTGTGTTGTGAATGCTTCAAGAAGGCTCAGAAACCAATGAGATATAGGAAAATTGAATATGAATCAGACTTTGAAAAAAATAGGTTCTTGTATTCGATGGCAGGAGTTTCAGAATTTTTTTAAACATCGGCCTTGGCAGATGTGAGTTTTTAGAATTTGGTCAAAGAAGAACACAACTAGCATTTTCCTCTTGAAACTTCTGCTTTTTGCATAGACACAAGAACAACTTATTTCCTTTTGACACACCATCTGATAAGCAGTGCACAAATAAAGAGTGCTTTATGCTATTGCTGAAAATTTACGATTTTTCATCCTAAATAAAGCAAGTATTCTGTCTCTCTCCTTATGTCCCTGATAACGAATCCGCGACGGATCCCGAAAAGTCACGCGAATAAAAGTCTTGTCCGAGCGATCGAGTCACCTTCTTCTCAAGTGCTTTATGGTTTTGGACACAAAGTCAATGTATAATGTGTGGCAATAAATTAAGATTTATTTTGTGAAATTGTCATTTGTCTATTGGCTATTTGTCTGAATGGGATTTGATGCGTGTCCAGCCTGCTCTTAAATATATTAACACGCGTTGGCTAGAGTTGCAATACACGTGATACTTGAAGATGATCGAGTTCGTGATGCAAAACTGCAGTGTGCATTCTTCTGATTCAGATGTTTCTGCGAAACAGTCCAGGTCAGCGGAAGCAGCTGCTGCCCCTATCACCGAGTTCATTTATGATCCCGAATCTGGTGCAAATTTCTATGCTTGGTGTAAACGTTGGGAAGACATCTTCCGTGTGGAGTTTGCCAAAGCTGATGACGCTTGGAAGGTGCGCCCGCTACTGCGCAAATTGGGCACCAAAGAACGCGAGCGGTACACTGACATGATTTTGCCGAAGAACCCTCGTGACTTCACCTTCGATGAAACCGTCAAGCACCTGTCGGCGAGAAGTCCTCCTTGTTCAGTATTCGATACCAGTGCCTTAGCTGGTCAAAAACGAGACAGGCGATTTTCTGACGTTCGCCATTATTGTCAATCGCGAGTGTGAAAGATTCAAACTGCGAAAGATGACAGAAGATAAATTCAAGTGCCTCATCCTTGTGAGCGCTCTGCAGTCACCTCGTGATGCTGAAACCAGCACTCGTCTGCTCTCCAAAATTGAACAGGACCCCAGTTCAAATCTGCGGACATTGATGGCCGTGTGTCAGTAGCTCAAGTATCTTAAGCATGATTCTGCGCTCGTGCAGCAACCCAGTTTTTTGTTTGCCGCCACCAACGTTCATGCTGTCACTCGCACGAAGCCGATCTCGCCACAGAAGCCCCAAAACTCCATATTCAGAAAACCACCATCAGCATACTGACAATGCGGTAATTGGCATTTTGTTCACTTCTGTCCATTTACGAAGCATGTTTTTCAGAAATTCCACAAACTAGGGCCTAAGGAAGATCACTGTCCGGCAGGCGATAGGATGAAGATATTTTCCAAAGGTCCTTAATCTTATTCCGGTCTCAAGTCTCACTCAATCCTAGTCACGTTCCAAACAGAATTTGAGGCACGGAGGATGAATTTACGGTTACTATCAATGACAAACCTGTATGTCTCCAGCTTGACACATTCTCGGACATCAGCCTCATCTCCAAGCGCACATGGCAGAAGATTGGACGGCCTCCGATGATCACATCGGACAAAAAGACTATGTATGTTTCTGGAGGATTTCTCCGACTCACGGGTGAGCTTGAATGTGACCCTTCCTTTGATGGCACTCAATTCAACTGATCATACTGTTGGGAATATTTCCAACAAGCGGTCCGAGTGAACACTCAGGTTACGTTATCGGCCCGCCTACAGAAAATGAATGTGTGCGGTGTGCGCGCGCGATGTGCGCGCGCCTAGAGGTCACAACAGCCGGCTAGGATAAGGTCGTACGCCGACGGGTGCGCGCGTGATGGCCAACCAAGCCTTTAGACACATGAAGACACCCCCTGATTGGTCCCATCTATAACATT